AAGATAAGTGCTGACACTTATCTTCTGTCTTTTTGATAAAAGCCATTCTAACAGGTGTGCAGTGATGTCTAATTGTGGTTATGATTTGAATTTCCCTGATGATCAGTGATGTTGACCATCTTTTTTCCTACGCCTGTTGGCCATCTGTATGTCTTCTTCGGAGAAATGTCTATTCAATTCCTTTGTCCATTTTTAATTGGGTTATTTATTTTTTTGCTATTGAGTTGTAGGAGTTCCGTATGTATTTTGGATAATAACCATTTATCACATAAATGGTTGGTAAATATTTTCTCCCATCCCATCCATTTCCTTTCACTCTGTTCATTGTTTCTTTTGCTGTGCAGAAGCTTTTTGGTTTGATGTAATCTCACTTGTCTATTTTTGCTTTTGTTGATTTTGCTTTTGGTGTCATATCCAAAGAATCATTGCCAAGATCAACGTCAAGAAGCTTTTCCCCTATGTGTTCTTCTAGTAGTTTTAGATTTTCAGGTTTTATGTTTAGATCTTTAACTCATTTGAGCTGGGTTTTGTATATGGTGTGAGATAAGGATCCAGTTTGATTCCTCTGCATGTGGTTATCCAGTTTTCCCAGTACCATTTATTGAAGAGACTATCTTTTCCTCATTGTGTGTTCTTGGCACCCTTGTCAAAGATCAGTTGACCATAAATATGTGGATTTATTGCTGGGCCTTCTGTTCTGTTCCCTTGATCTACATATCTGTTTTTATGCCGGAGCCATATTGTTTTGATCAGTGTAGCTTTGTAATATATTTTAAAATCAAGAAGGGTGGTGCCCCAGCTTTGTTCTCCTTACTCAAGATGCTTTGGTTGTTCAGTCTTTTGTGTTTCCATACGAATTTTAGGATTTTTTTTTCTATTTGCGTAAAACATGGCACTGGGATTTTGACAGGGATTGCACTGAACCTGTAGATAACTTGGGGGAAGTATGGACATTTTAACAATATTAATTCTTCCAGTCCATGAACATGGAGTACCTTTCCATTTATCTGCATCTTCTTTAGTTTCTTTCCTCAATGTTTTATAATTTTCAGTGTAAAAGTATTTCACTTTCTTGGTTGTTTATTCCTGAGTATGTTATTCTATTTATTGCTATTACAAATGGGATTGTTTTCCTGACTCTACTTAATGTGGCTCTGAGCCTCATTGACTTCATCTAGAAAATGAAGACATTAAATCAGTGAGAACATTTCCTTCTCCCTCCAAAACAAAATCTTATCCAGAAGTCCAAATTATAAATTAACATATAAAATAGAGTTCCCTTTCTTGAATCAGGCATGGGAGCCTGCAGCATGCCTGGTGCCCACTGAACTGTACCCCCAAATGGCCCCTCAAGTGACTCCATAGAGTCCAATGCTTAGATAATCTTTAAGGCCCTTCTGAAAGAAAGACGATGCCATTTATTGTGCACCTACTATATGCCAGGCCCTGGACCAAGCAGAAGCCAAGATGTAAGGCATAGCATTCTGCGGGGGAGGGAGAGGCAGCAAATGGCAGGAGTAAAGCTACATGGAGGGCTCTGAGGCAGGGGTGTCCACTATACCCTGGTAGAAAAACAGACCTCCAGCCATTTGGGGATATAAAGGGAAAGTTCAGAAGGGGAGAGAGCAGGCTTGTTTAACTTTGAAATGTGGCTGGTCAAACTGCTTGGGCACTGATGTGCTCTTGACAGTCTAAAAGGGCTCTTGGATTGCTCCCATATTCGGCTGCTTTTAAAGAGCTCTTTTGTTTAGAGGCCTCTTCCAGAGTTTTATGAAACCACACTCACCTCCTGTAGGTGCTGCTCAGCTGTCAAGAGCTCTCTAACCCTCCTAGAAGCCCCCTTGTGACTAAGCGAGTTGCAGGATACAGATGCCTAGTGCTCAGACTCCTGTGAGTAGGTGGGGGTTGGAAGCAAAGTCAATGAGGTTTAGAGATGGAGAATGTTCAGGTCACTCTTGGTTATGTCGCTAGGAAACAGATGCAGAGGAAACAAGCACCAGCTTAATTTTTCAGTTCAGCTTCATCTCTGAGGGGCTGGGACTAACCGGGGAAAGTAGGGCAAAGTGAAGAGGCTACTTCTTGGGGAATCAAACTTAGTGGAAAGTTACCAATGCAAATAGAAAATATGAAGGTCAAAACCATTTGAAAGTTCCTGTTCAGTACTAGTAGGAAATTAGCCTGACATTTAAGAGCCTGAACAGTCCGGTCCCAGCCAACCACTCTAGCCTTATCTCTTATTTCTCTTCGACCATCAACCTCTGCTTAGGGCTTGATCCCTGAATAGTTATAATTGTTGCAGTTTCCATCTCCAAGCTTCACCTCATTCTCACCACTCCACCCCCACCTATGGCTCTGTTTCACCTGGAGCTCTCTCTCTTCTGAATCCCTGAGCCTGACTCACATGAGCATTTTTCTCACACCAACTTATCTCAAAAAGCATTATCTCCTGTTTATTGTGTATAAGTCTGTCTTCCTAACTGGAATCTAAGTGCCAGGAAGACAAGTATCATGTTTTATATCCCTTGCCTGCATCCCTTTTCCCAGGCATCTAGCTGTGCTGGTACAATTAGTGGATCAAAATGATCTTCTGGTTGTTTTGTTGTTTATTACAAGTATGTCAAGAGACTCTGACCCATAGGCCTCTGCCCTGAATTCTTTATATGACCTTGAACAAGTTTCTTCTCCCTTATCTGCCTCAGTTGCCCCATCTGAAAATGATGGGATCAGACTCAATGAAGTATGAGGCTTTGACAGCCCATGATTCTACAAGTCCATGCTCAAAATGAGGAAAGAGGATCAATACAGCTTGCTAACCAAGCTGAGGAGGGAGAGGGAAATGAATCTTCCCAAAAAAGCAAACCAAACAAGAAACAGCTGAAGAGGGAATAAAAAGACGTCTAAGGGAAGGTTTGTGGCTGGGAACTTGCATGAGCATTGAGGTGGGAGAAAACACCAGCTTCAAGAACAGGCTTTTCCAGCCCTGAGTGTTTTACAAACATAAATCTTCTTCTGTGATGGACAAAGGGATCCTGTAGGTCGGGCCTTTTGTTAGCAACTGGTTGCAACAGGGTATAAGCAGCATAACCGAGTGAAACTCCCCACTACTCAACAGTCAGGCGCTCATGAATCGCTGGGCCAGGTTAGCAAAGTTCCCAAACACTGCCATCTAGTGGCACTTCAAAGAAATATTTGGGGTAACTGGCCCTTGCATTCTCAGATGAAGCTGCCAGGCTTTTGGAGAAACATAGGCCGGCCCAAGAATAAAATATTGAGCCGATGAAGAATGAAAAAGTTCCCTGAGGGAAATCTTGATAAAGAAACCAAGAAAGACCAAGGCAGACAACGACAGGACCAAAGCAAGTGAGGGAAAGATATAGATATCCACTAAGCTAGATGAACCTTGCATTGAAAATTGGGGAGTGGAGGATAGGGAGAATTAACATAATCACTCACTCTGGTTCAGCATCCCCAACACATTTTTAGGAGGTTGGTGATAGACAAAGCTTCTGGTATGCCTCATGTGCTTTCTTTCTCTTCTGATCTCAATTACTTCCCTATCTCTCACTCTTTTACCTAATCTTTGTATGTTCCTCCCCCATGACCATTCTCTACTCAACTCCCCCAAAACAAAAACAGACAAACAAAAGTACCAAACAGTAACAAAATTCTTTCTTGGGGTTGTAGAGAAGTATAAGAGACTATGGAGGTCCAAAGATTGCTTTTGAAGACAGTAACACCAAAGATGTCTCCAGATTTCTGGACATACCTCTACCCAAATATTAATGTGAATGGTCTTTTGTCCTATGACATCTGCAGCCTTGCCTTGCTCCTGAGCTGCAGATCTAAATCTCCCATTGCCTACTGGGCATTTCCATTAGGATATCCACATGACTTTTCAAAACTACATTTTTCCCAAACTGTCTTCCTTCCTTCTGGTCACAACCTGTCCCTATCTTTTGTTCCTTCTGTGCCTGGTGCTTTAGCCCTACCAATCATCCAGACCCAAACTCTCCACTCCCTCCCTCTCAACACGCTCCAGTTCTCCCACCAGGCGCCAAGTCTCTGCGACTCCCCCCAAACAATATTTCTTTAAAATATTTCTTACTTTCCATGTCTACTTACACTCTCATAGACCTGGCCTTATAACCTCTCAACTGGACTACTGAAGTGGCCTGTGGTTTCAGCATTTGATATATACGTCCAAGTCTCCCACCTTTCTTCATCTCACTGGCAACAGCTCACTCATAGTCCCATCATCTTTCACTTGTGTTACTTCAATAGCCTTTTAACTGGTCTCTCTGCTTTCAAACTTGTCCTACAAAAGCCTTCCTCCATATATTGGCTAGATTGATCTTTCTACCCTGCAAAACCTTGCATGTCACTTCCCTGTTTTAAACTCTTCCATAGAGCTATGGCTGAATGAGGAGACTGGCAAATCTTCCCCCCAAAGCCACTGTACAGCTGGACAAAATTGACAAAAACAATAAGTTTAGGGCCCTGGAAATCAATAGAAGTCACACGACAATCTGAAAAGTGTTTATACTTGAAAAAATGTTGAACTTCAGATAAGAACAATGGAGATTTATGCCATTCCATCCTGGAGCTGCTCCCATTTCCCATCCAGCTCGGTCAGCATGAGGTCCTGCAAGGTAGAGCGACCATGAAGACTAGCAGCTTCTCAGCTGAGGTCAAAAGTGGTGTGCAACATCTATGCCTAGCAGGATTGTTGGAACAAGTAATAATCACAGAGCACATGAGAAACCAGTGTGTGGGGAGGGCCAATATCTCTACCAGTCAGAAGTTGCATTTTTGAGACAAGTATATTCCTGGCTGCAGTGGCACACATGTGCATCAGAGACCTGAGAAAGTCGCTGCCAGACACACACTTCTGGCTGAACCTGAAGCGGCGGACATATGTAGAAGAGAACTGAAAAGCCCTGGCCAAAAGAAAAAAGTAGGGACAGACTTGAAACAGTGTAAAAATTTAACGTGCTTCTTACCTGCACACAGATTCTTCAGCTGAGGACTACTGGAGGTGGTAGGGCACAATCTTGGTCCAATCATTGATGATCCATAACCTATGTAAACACAGGAAAACCCTTATGAAGCCAGGTTTAATTAACAAAAAGGAAGTTGAAAAAAATTGTAAAGACACATCAGCAACCACAAACAGGTAGACAAGACAGATTTCATAGATTTAGCCTGGACAAATTACTAAGTAAAAAAAAGCCAGTCAGACAAACAAAACCCAGTAACAACAATAATCTTCAGGGGTAAAACATCAGAATCCACAGTTGCTATAATATATTAATTAAAATTTCTAGTCATCAAGAAGAACTTATGTGACATACAAAGAAAAAAGAAAATGTGACCTATAATCAGGGAGAAAAAAAGCACTAAACAGAAATTTTTGAGTGTCCCCAGATGTTGTATTTAGCAGAAGATAAAGCAGCTATTATACATATGATCAAAGGACTAAAGGAAGGCGTGTTTAAAGGATTAAGGAAAGTATGACAACATGAATCAATAAAAAGAGATTCTCAATTCTCAATAGGACACATAAATCATAAAAAGAACCAAATGGAACTGCTGGATTTTCAAGGAAAATTCTGGAAATTTGAGATGGCAGAAGAATCAGTCAACTAGAAGATACAACATTAGAAATTATTCAGTCTGAAGAACAGATAAAAAAACAGTTGAAGAAAAATGAACAGTCAGAAAACTACGGGAAAGCATCGAGTATACCAGCACATGTGTAATTGGAGGCCCAGAAGCAGAGAGGAGAAACAGAAAGAAAATATTTGAGGAAATAATGGCTGAAAACTTTCCAAATTTAAAGAAAAATATTATTCTGCACATCCAAGAATCTTCATGAATCCCAAGTAGGATGAACTCAGAGACTCACATCTAGACACATCATAGTCAAATTAGTGAAAGAAAAACATAGAATCTTGAAAGCAGCAAAAGAAAAATGACCAGTCACATAAAAAACAGCATACAATTAATGGCTGACTTCTCATCTTAAACAACTGAGGCCAAAAGGCAGTAGAATGACATATTCAAAGCACTGAAGAAAAAAAAAAACCTTGTCAACCAAAAATTCTAAATACAGCAAAACTATCCCTCAAAAATGAAGATTAAATAAAGAAATTTCAATGTGAAGAAAGACTGGGGGTATTCATTGCTAACAGAACTGCCTTATAGGAAATAGTAAAGAATGTCCTTCAGGCTGAAAGAAAATGACTTCAGACAGTGAGTTGAATCCACAGGGGGAAATAATGAGCACCAGAAATGGCAGGTTAATATAAAAGGTCTTACAGATTTATAAAAAGATTCTTATAGATATAATTTTTTATATTGTCCCTTAACTTCTTTAAAAGTCATAAGATTTTATGAAGCAACAATTAAAATACTATATTGTTATGTTTATAACATATATAGAGGTGCAATATATATGACAGTAAAACCACAAAGAAGTGGTGGAGGAAATGGAGCTATGTTGGAACAAAGTTTCTATATTTTACTGGAATTAAATTAATATTAATCTGAAGTATACTATGATAATTTAAAACATTCTACTTGCAATCTTCAAAGAAACCATAAAGAAACTCAGTAAAAAATATATGCTTAAAAAACTGGAGGAATTAAACTGGTATATTAAAAATTATGTATTTAACATGAAGGAAGGCAGTTAGGCAAGAAGAGAAAGGTTAATAAAAGAAAGAAGACATATATAAAAGAAATAGCAAAATTATAAACGCAAATCCAACTATATCAAGAGTTACATTAAATGTAAATGACCTAAACAAATACCCCACTCAAAAGGCAAATATTATCAGAGTGAATACAAGAGCAAGGCCCAACTATGTGCTTTCTATAATCAATACACTTAGATTTAAATACACAAATAATTTTAAAGTAAAATGATGAGGAAAGATATACCATGCAAACAGCAATCACCATAGAGCTGAAGTGGCTGCATGAATATCATACAAAATAGACTTTAGAACAGGATATATTACTATAGATGATTAAGGACATTTCGTAATAATAAAAGGATAAATTAAATCAGGAAATTATAACAATTATAAATTGGATGCTATACAACAAAGCATCCAAATACATGAAGGAAACATTGGCAGAACTGAAAAGAGAAATAGACAATTCACCTATAATAGTTATAGATTTCAATACCCCATTCTCAATAATTGATCAGACAAATAGACAGAAAATCAGTAAGGCTGTAAAAGACTTGAACAAACTATCAAATAACTCAACCTAACTGACATATATAAAACTTTCCAGCCAACAAACAAAGAACACATTTTTTCAATCAATAAGAAACATTCTCCAGTATATACCATATTCAAGGCTATACAACAAACTTTAGTAAATTTAATAGGATGGAAATTATGCAAAGTATGTTTAATAACAAAATGGAATTAAGAAATTGACAGCAAAGTGAAATTTAGTAAACCTCCAAATACTAGAAAAGTAAACAACACAGTTCTCAACAACTCATAGGTCGCAAAATGAAGCATGAGAGAAATGAGAAAAATGAGAAATGTTTTTTAAACCAAAAGGTGAAAATTTAACACATCAATCTTTATGGGATGCAGCTAAAGTAGAGCTTAGAAGGAAATTTAGTTTTCAATGCCCATATCAGAAAAGAAGAAATGTCTGAATAACCTAAGCTTCCACCTTACAGAACCAATAAAATAAGAGCAAACTAAGCTCAAAGCAAGCTGAAGAAAGGAAATAATTAAAAGTAGAGTAGAAATTAATAAAATAGGAAAATATATTGATAGAGAACATCAATTAAATCAAAAGTTGGCTCTTCAAAAAGGTCAACAGTATTGAAAATAATAAACTAGACTGAACAAGAAAGAAGACATAAATCGTCCAAATCGGGAATTAAAAGGTGCTATCACTATCAACACTACACAAATTTAAAAGATTCTGAGAATACGATGAAAAATGTTATGCAGAAAATTGGACAACATAGCCGAAATGGAGAAGATTCTAAAAAGACACAAATTACCAAAACTAACCAAAGAAGAAATGGAAAATCTGATTATACATATACCAAGTAAAGAAATTGTTATAGTAATTGAATATCTTCCCACAAAGAAAAGCCCAGGCTCAGATGGCTTCACCGATGAAGTCTATCAAATATTTAAAGAAGAAGTAATACCAATTATTCACAAGAAATAGCAGAGGGAACACTTCCCAACTCAATCTATGGGGCCCGTATCATCCTGATTCCAAGCCAGAGAAACACATCCCCCAAAAAAGCAAAAGTACAGACCAATATTGCCCATGGTCATAGACAGACACAATCTTTAACAAAATATTAGCTACCCAAATTCAGCAACACAAAAAGTGGATTATAGCCCATGGCCAAGTGAGATTTATTCCAGCTAAGTTAGGTTGACTTAACATTTGAAAATTAATTAATGTAGTACATCATACTAATAGAATGATAGGGAGAAAATCATAATAATCTCAATAGAAGTGAAAAACAAAAAGCTTTTTCCAAAATCCAATACACATTCATGATAAAAGCTGTCAACAAACTAGGAGTAGAAGCCTTCCTCAAATTGATAATGAGCATCTGCAAAAACAAAACAAAACCAAACAAAACCATCGCTTAACATCATACTTGCTGGTGAAAGATTGAATGTTTCTAAGATGGGGAACAAAGCAAGTGTCTCTTCTTTCGTTCCTTCTACTCAACATTGAATTAGAGGTTTAGCCAGTGTAGTAAGCAAATAAAGACAAATAAATAAATGAAATTAAACGCATCCAGATTAAAAAGCAAGAAGTAAAACTGTCTTTATTTGCAGGTGACATAATTCTCTATGAAGAAAATCGCAATGGATCCATAAAAATATAGTAGAACTAATAAATAGTTTTAAAAAGTCACAAGATACAAGACCAATATACAAAATTCAATTGTATTTCTATATACTAGCAAGATACAATCAGAAGTTAAATGTCTTTTTTTTTTTAAGATTTTTAAAATTTTTCCTTTTTCTCCCCAAAGCCCCCTGGTACATAGTTGTGTATTTTTAGTTGTGGGTCCTTCTAGTTGTGGCATGTGGGATGCCTCCCCAGCATGGCTTGATGAGCGGTGCAATGTCCACACCCAGGGTCCGAACCAGCGAAACCCTGGGCCGCCGAAGCGGAGCACACAAACTTAACCACTTGGCCACAGAGCCAGCCCCAGAAGTCAAATGTCTTAAAGTGTCATTTACAATAGCATCGAAAATATGAAATTCTTAGGGATAAATCTAACCAAAGATGTGAAAAAGACCTGTGCACCAAAAACTATAAAATATCACTATAATGAGAGAAAACAAAGATTTTAATAAATGCAAATAAAATCCATGTTCATGGATTGGAAATCTCAATATTGTCAGGATGGCAATTCTCCCAAAATTGATATATAATGTCAAGGCAAGCCCTATGAAAATCATAGCAGGCTTTTGACAATTGAAATTGTCAAGTGACAATGTCAAATGACAAGTGAAATTGACAAGCTGATCCCAAAATTTGTATAGAAATCCAAAGGATTTAGAATAGACAAAACGATTTTGAAAAGGAAGAAGTACCTACTTTCAAAAGTAGTACAATGCCACAATAATCAAGTCAGTTTAGTATTGGGACAAGGATAGGCAAAAAGATTCATGACAGACAATTGAGAGTCTATTTATAGTCAATTAATTATTGGCAAACATGGCAATGCAAGTCAATTGGAAAAGGACAATCTTTTCAAGAAATGGTCTGGGACAATTGGATATCCACATACAAAAAGAGGAATTTAGATTCTTAGTGTATATTGTATACAAAAGTTAACTAAAAATGGATCACAGACCTAAGTGTCTGAACTAAAACTCTAAAACTTCTAGACGAAAACATAGGAGAAAATCTTTGTGACCTCAAGTTGGGTAGAGATCTTAGATATAATACCCAAGGCACCATTTATAAAATTTAAAAAGTGATTAATTGATCTTCATCCAAAAAAAACCCTTTTAGGCTTCAAAGGATGCCATTAAGAAAGTGAAAAGACAACCCACAGAGTAGGAAATAATTTTTGGAAATCATATATCTGATAAGGGTTTGTATCCAGAATAAAGTCCTACAATTCAACAATAAAAAGACAATCCAATGAAAATTTGGGCAAGGATCTGAATAGACAATTTTCCAAAATAAAGATACACAAATGGCTAATAAGTACTTGAAAAGATGCTCAACATCATTAGTCATCAGAGAAATGCAAATCAAAATGACAAGATAGCATGTCACACTCACTAGGATGGCTAAAATCAAAAAGAAAGATAGGGGCCAGCCCAGTGGCGCAGCGGTTATGTGCGCACGCTCCGCTTCGGAGGCCCGGGGTTCACCGGTTCGGATCCCGGGTGTGGACATGGCACCGTGTGACAAGCCATGCTGTGGTGGGCATCCCACATATAAAGTAGAGGAAGATGGGCTTGGATGTTAGCTCAGGGCCAGTCTTCCTCAGCAAAAAGAGGAGGATTGGCAGCAGTTAGTTCAGGGCTAATCTTCCTCAAAAAAGAAGAATGTGGAAAAATTGGAACCCTCTTGCGTTGCTGGTAGGAATGTAAAATGGTGTAGTCACTTTGGAAAATAGTCTGGCAGTTCCTCAAAGTTTAAACATTGAGTTACCCTGTCACCCAGAAATCCAGCCTGTGGATACATACTCAAAAGAAATGAAAATATACATTCACACAAAAACTTGCAAAAAAATGTTCACAGCAGCATTATTCATAAAAGCCAAGAAGCATAAACAACTCAAATGTTCATCAATTGATGAATGGATAAGTAAGGTGTTGTACATCCATACAACGGAAAGTTACTTGGCCATAAAAAGTTACTGGTCTATGCTATGACATGGATGAACCTCGAAAACCTTATGCTAAGTGAAAGAAGCCAATCACAAAAAAAAACACATATTGTGTGATTCCATGTATATGAAATATCCAGAATAGACAAATATACAGATGCCAAAAATCGCTTCTTGATGGCCAGTGGCTTGAGAATGGGGCAATGGGGAGTGACTCCTAATTAGTATAGGGTTTCTTTTTGGAATGATGAAAATGTTCTGGAATCAGATAGCGGTGATGGTTGCTCAATTTTGTGAATATACTGAAAACCACAAATTATATATTTAAAGTGTATAAATTGTATGGTACATGAATTATATTTCAATAAAGCTATTACTAAAAAACAAAAACATCCGTTGCTCTCTGTTGCTCTTAGCATTAAGTCCAAGGTTCATTGCCTGGAACTTCAGCGCCTTCACTCCTACATTCGTGTCCAATCCCTGGCACGCACTGTGCCACATCTAGCTACACTAGTAAGATTTATCTCCATTCTCCCAACATGCTGTGTATGACTACACAACCGTGCCTTTGCTCCCGCTGTTCGCTCTCCGTGGAATGTCCCCTTTGCCCTGTTTACTTTGTAAACTGCTGCTTATTTTTCAGGAAGCAGCTGAAGCCTCTTCTCTCTCCCTCATCTCCACTCTCCCAGGCCAAGAAGGGTCCCTCTTCCCTTCTCTCTGCCACAACTTCTCACAGCACACACCTCTATCACTGCACTCCTTACACTGTGTGGCAATTGTCGCGTTTGCCTCTTTGTCTCCTTAACTAGAGGATGAGTTCGTTGTAGGCGGGAACCATGCCAGATTGACCTTTCTATACCCAGCACCTAGAACAGGGCCCGATACACAGTAGGCTCTAGGTACATATTTGTTGGTTGAATGAATGAATTTAAGTAGTCTATCAGTTATTCTTAACATGTCATCATTCCACTTTATCAGAGTGATATCCAATGACCCATGAGCTGGCAGATGAGGTCTGAACACATAGAAGGGTAGGGCAGAACTATTCTGGGAGAATGGAGAAGGCAAGCCTGACCAGAACACTGCAATGCAGAACCCTGGACAACCAAAAGGCCAACAAAGGTGTGTAGCTAGGAGAGAGGATGCGGGGGTCACTGGGGCTGGCAGAAGTAGATAGAAATGGGAGGAAACATCAGCACTCAGGGAGGAAGGCAGGCCTCCTCTTAATCCCACTTACCTGAAATCATTGACTCACTGGATGAGGAGCTCCTCAAAGGCAGGGATCATGTCTCATTCTTTTCTTAAGCCCTGTGCCTAGCACAGAGTGGCACAAAATAGCTGTTCAATGTTGCCTCTCAAGGTCATAACAAGGAAAGGGGGCAGGCAGGCACAATCAGATCTTCTCTTGGGCTCCCTAGAGCGGTGAGAGCCAGGCAGCAGGGAAGAGACCAGTGAGTGCTCTTTCAGTTCAGAGGAGCCGGCCAGCCTAGCAGGGCAGGGCAGTACACAACAGGAAGGGCCAAACTATTGTGTCTTAAAAGGCAAAGGAAGTCCTCAGAATAGCGCTTGAGTCACTGCCTAACATGGACCTCTCCTGAGAGATGTGACAACCTGAGAGTTTGGTTCTCTCCATACTGCCCCAGAGACTCTGGCTATGCATGCTAGGGGCATCAGACAAATGCCCCTGTCTACCCTTCCTGGCTTCCTCATTTGACAGGGAAGCCCACCACGTTTTCTTGTGGTCCAGACCAACGACCTTGAATAACCAGAAAAGGCCAGCTGGCTCTAGCCTAGTCTAGCCATTTGCTTGTTTGCATGAAACATGGAGAAAAAGGTGGCCTATACTAAATAGAGTTGAAATGCCAGAACTGCCTTAGTGCACTGTGGAAGAAGGAAGTCTGCCTCAACTCTGTAACAGAAATCCTGCCTGAGTTTCCAGCCAGCTGGCCTGCCCCGTGGATTTCGAACTTACTAGTCCCCACAAACGTATGAGCCAATTCCTTAAAGTCAATCACTCTCTCTCTCTATATATATATATGTATGTATGTATGTATGTATGTATGTATGTATATACTCCTATTCCTATTTGTTCTGTTTCCCCGGAGAACCTTGACTGATACACCCAGCAAGGGAGAAACACTTGAAGAGAAAATGTGACACGTGTCTATTTCACAATTTTGTTCGGGGGCAACTTTCATCTTCCAGTTTCTGATTCAAAACTGTTGTTTCTTTGCCTGGCAAAGCTCTATTTGACAATAGACACTTCTGATTAAATGCACACAGTCAGGAGCCTGTGACAGCATGATTGCTAGCAAGCCCTGCTTTCTGTCACCTTAGCGGCAGAGGGACAGTTTTATCTTTCTTTCCCAGTGTCAGACAGAAGCTGGTCTGAAGCCACTCCCGACTCAGTCTGGGTGTGGTTCTGATTCGAAGCCAAGCAGCTCAAATGAGAGTGAAGAGGTTTTCACTCTGCAGTAATTCTTCAGCAAACAAATGCCTGAGGCAAAAACGATGGGTTTTGCCACTTCCCAGTTTGAGCTGCTTTGCCTGAACTTGAGGGCCTTGCCAATTAACAGGTTTCTCAGTAGTGCACTGCAAAGAAGTGAGACAATGAGCTCCACGGGACCCGTCAGCATCTGCAGACAAGGTGGACGCTGAATATAACACTTGAGCTATGCTGATAATTAAGTAAGGCCTGGGGAAGAAGAGAAGGCTCTTCTTGTTCAAACAATCTGGGCAAAGAGAAAGCTCAGGAAAGAAAGTCCTTTGAATGAAGTCTTATCCTCTCTTCTAAAACCTACAGATCTCAAGCATGGCTTAGTTGTTTGCCTTTTTAGATCAAAACACAAATACATTTTGTACAGGACACTTAAAACTATGATTAATTCAAATTGTTCAATTGTTCCCCTCATCCATATTCATAGCCACGATCCTCTGCCACCTCCAGATGTTTCTAGGAGTGGTTAGCTCAAAAGCTCACTTGACATCACTCTGTGGCATTCCTTTCACTGATGATTAACAGAGGACACAAGACCTGACTCACAGCCTGGCCAGAAACTGCACTGATTAAGGCAAGCTGTAAAGAATCACGACTTCCCTCCATGAGTGGGGCCAGCTTTGTGCACCCACAGTCCTCTAAGAGGAGAAAGAGTTTCCCTTGTCTAGTATAGGGTTCCTCCCGTGTTGTTGGACAAGAGGAAGGTCTCAAACTGAGAGCCAGATGAAATTGGGCTGGTAATGCAGAAGCAGAGAAACACACACTGTGAAGTTGATCTGTGAATTTGTACCAGGTCTGAAAGCACTAAATTACAAGATGTGGTATTTGTCTTTTTTTTTTTTTTTTTGAGGATGCATGTTCTCTTGTGTAATAAAACAATGCACTACTTAAATTTTAATGTGCATGCATATAACCTGGGGATCTTGTTAAAATGCAGATTCTGATTTGGTTTAAGTCTGGTAGGCCTGAGATTGTGAATTATTAACGAGCTCCCATACGATACCTAAGCAGCTAGTCCTTGAACCATACTTCAAGTACAAGGTTATGAAACAAGTGGTAGGCCTGCAAATAGGCCCCACACCTCTAGTGTTGCCTAAGTCCTGTCAGCCATACAGATATGGCCAGGTCCCTCTCTCCTGCAGTTTGCAGTGTAGTAGACAATGACCCCTATATGCATATAATGGGATCAGTGCCACAAGGGAGGTAAAAAGGGTTGGGGATGTTCGGAGCAAGAAGTGGTCATTTCCAACTGGAAGGAGGGACTGCCAAGGCTTCAGAGAAGACAAGAGTTTTAAGCTGGATCATGAAGAGATGAGACTTAACAGGCAGAAATGTGGTAAGGGCTTGCCGGCTAGAGGGATCGCCAGAAGCAAAGGCACAGAGGCTAGAAACCATGAGGCATGGGCAGGGAAGAGTGCACAATTCCATTTGACTAGAATGTAGACTACTCTTGCAAGCAGAAACTAAGACAAACAAATAAGGTTGGTCAGGTAGTTTAGGACCAGATGACGGAAGATCCTGAGGTCATGTTGTACAAAAGCATTCGGACTTCATTCTGTAGGTGAGGGGGAGAATTGATTTTTTTTTTGTAGCTTGAATGTGGCTTGAATGGAGCTGTGCCTTAGATTCTAGGCTTAGGAGATCACTCCAGGGACAGTGGAAGGGGCAGGTTGGAAGGGGAGACCCTGGAGGAAGGGAGACCAGTTAGGAGGCTATGGTTCAGTCAGCCTTCCAGAAAATACTTATTGAGCTCCTATTTTATTCCAACTTGAGCAGGGAACAAAAACATACATGTCCTATCACCTTGTGGCACTCACAGTCTGAGGAGAGCTACAAAGAAGTCCAGGGTGCTAAGAGAGTGTAAAACAGAGAGATCTAAAAGTCTGGAGTATCAGAGAAAATCGTCCCTGAGTTGGAGACATTTTGATCCAGATCTGAAGAATGAAGAGGATTTAGCCAGATGAAAAGAAAAGTGAAGGCGTACTCCAGATGGAGAGAAAGACCCCAACAAAGGCCCAGAGACTAGAGAGTTTGGCATGTCCCGATACTGAGAGAAATAGAGCATGGCTGAAGTGGAGAGACCAAACAGAAGAGAGACATGACATAAAGCTATAAAGGTTGGCAGGGGTTACATTTGTGCAGGTCCTTTTTAGACAAGGCAAGAATTTTGAACTTTGCCCTAAGGCTGATAGAAAGCCATTAAGCACAGGAGTGACTTGATGACATATATGTATTAGAACAACGCTCTGTCTTTGCTCTCCAGAGGATGGATGGGGGCAGAGAGCAAGATTCGATGCAAAGAAGCTAGTTTGAGAATGTTTGAGTAGACCGGGCAAGAGGTGATAGAGACTTGGTTTGAGCGGAAGAGAGGGTGGGGAGAGGTAGGCAGACAGAAGTGATAATCATGGGGTAAAATCAGCAAGAACTGGAGAAAGTGGGGGCAAGACACAGAAGAAAGGGGAGAAGGCAAGAAGGATTCCTAAGTTCTTAGTTCGGGGACTGGATGGATAGTGGTACCTGCCACTGATGTAAAGAACACAGGAGGAGAAGTAGATTTGGAAGGGAGTGAGGAAGAGAAGTTCAAGCGAAGGTCCTATGGGATGTTCACGGGGAGATAAATAGGCAGATCTATACACCACTAGATTTCAGGAGAGAGGTCTGGGCCAGGGATAGGAATGTAGGAGTAATTGGGATACAGAGGGTGGCTGAAGCTATGCAGTCTCATAGCTGATTCCAGTGCATTCTTCCCTGCCTGCCTATTAAGCCTCCCAACTGGCTCCCAGAGTCCATCAGGAACAAACATTGCAATGCACGGGTTGATACAGCAGCCTGGATTCTGTGACTGAAGAAAAGGAGGGCAGATTTTGAAGGTAAATCATGAAGAGAGATTTTGAGAATGTCAGAAATTACGGCATCTTTGGAGTTGGTATGCAGCCTGTCAAAGTGAGGAATAGCTCTCATTTCATGTGGGAATTCTGATAGATCAGTTACAAAAAGTGGATTCAAGAATTTGCAGGCAAATCCTACATCAAACGGCTTCTTAATACTCTTGGGTCAGCTCTCCCTGCTCAGCTACCCAACATGTTCCTGACATATACATGATCAGACTGTGCAAGCTAATTCTAGTATTAGCCTAAGCAAAATCATAATTAGGAACACCTGCTGCTGTTGGAAAAAAGTCTATAATACATTCCCAAAACAAATATAAATGACCTTTTCTTCAACTTTTTAGATTATTTACACTCCTTTGCCCTTTCAGCAGCCTAGATAATTCACTTAGCTATATTTATAAAATAGAGATGTGCGTTCTAAATAAAACAGTGCAAGGAAGGTTGCTTTATACAAGTGGTTTTCGTGGATGATATGCCTATCAGCTACCTTCAAAATGTACTTTGAAATTATTATAGTAGCAAATGAATGTTTTCACAGGACCTGTTGAAGTGGAACTCTTTAGGAAATGAAAATAAGTAAATAAAGCCAGCAGCAATATGTCTTCTAAACTTGCAGCAGAATGATGACTGTGGAAAAAAATGCACTCTGAACTCAATCTGACGTAAACCTCAGGATGACATCATGCATTCATATGGGAGAATTTTTGAGTGAAACCAGGACTTGTAAGGGTATGTGGTGGTGGGTGGATATGATTCCCTAGGAAGGTAATATCATTGAACAATTATCAGCCTCTGGACAGGCAAGTATGAAGAGGGAAGAGACCACCTATCTGGGTGATTGTGAGTCATTCCGAGAGTTTCCTCACTTGCCTATTGATGCTAGAAATACCAAGATCTGGGGCTGAAGTCTTTCTTGCTCAACTCAAGAGGAGACTTGGAACACTACCTTCTGGGAAGACATCATGTTGAGGCTTGGCTCACACAGATGTGTGGATGATCCAGGAGCAAAGCCTTTTTCATGGAAAGTTGAACAGGTTTCCAATAAGGAAAGCTGGACTTGTGCACTCAGGAAAAGTTGGATATCAGATCTCTGTCACCCTACCTCATAGTGTGGGGTTTGGGGCAATTATGAGAGAGAGTGTTTCTATTATCTATTGTCATCTAACAAACTATCCTGAAATGTAATGGCTAAAACATCACTGTTCTCTCACTCTTCTGTGGAATGACTGGGTTCCACTGGG